ATTGGCGCATTCATTTCACTTCTCACATCCTTAAGAATGTGACGGTGAGAAGCCAATTATGGTTTGATAATGTTCACGGAGCGGAGCGTACTCACATCTGTCGAATCCCAATCATGACGTCCCCCATTCTTCTTTTGTCTTTATTCCCTTCGCACTTTGCATTAACGGGTTTGGTTCCCAAAACCACTTTTAGAAAAAGTGTTTTCACGTCTATATGACAAAATATTTTTATATATTTACTTCACACATCTTATTTTATATATTGCAAAATTAATTTTAAAATTATAATTTAACTTAATATATAAATATTAAGAAAATTAGTTAGATTCGTTATTTATAAAAATTAATTACATTAAATAAAAATAGATCAAATACAGATAAATAAATTCTATATATATTACCTTCAATCTTTAATATAAAAGTTAGTTTGACTTTCAATTTAGTCTTAAATATAAAATCTCAATATATTTTATCTCTCATATTTATTTATTTTTTATTTTAAGGTAGTTCTTATAATAATACTCGTATAGATACTTTTGAAAGTATTCATAGCCAAGAAAGAGGACAGCCTCCGTAACCAAGCTTTCGTACCTGGGTTTAGAAATAATTACATTGAGCATTTTCTTTCATATTAGAACAATTATGTGTGGTTGGGAGAAATATATTCCTGAAACATGATATATCAGTGGCCAGCGCATGCATATAAATATAATAATTAGAACTTTTTAAAAATCTCATATAAGTATAAATTAATGTTAATTGGGAATAAAGAGGGCAATGAGGTAAGAAAGGGGATGGAATAAGTTCCCTAGATTCTTATTGAGTACTCCTCCAGTCCTTAATATATGACTCAATTGTTGAGTTAGTTTTGGTCTTAAATATAAGACCTATTTCTCATATTTATTAATTTTCTCTAAATTACCCTTATAAATACTCTTTCAACCATAATCAAGTAGAAGTGGGAGATGAGGTATTAAGAAATATGATTATGGTATTTTACGAAAAACATGTCACATTTCTTATAATTAACTAACTTACCTGACTTTCTTAATCTAATCAAATTAGTTAAATAGGTCTTATATTAAGGATCGGAGGAGTATTATTCTAGTTTCCTTTTATTTTGGTCAATCAATTTTTTCATTGTTTTAACTTTTGAGTATTCTAATTATATAAAATGCATAGTAGGCAGTTTAACAAATAATATTATTTGTGTGATTTATTGCTTATGCAGTGGATTAAAATTATGTTCTCCCATACCAATGAATGTATTAAATTTAAAAGATTTTTTAATTTTATTCTTATTAAGTTTTTTTAATATTTATCAATCATTCTATATCCCTCACTTTTCTCTCTCTTTGCAACGAGAATTTAACAGGTATAAAATTAAAAATCAAACTATTAAATATACTACAAGTCACTTATTATATTTACGATCAAAATCTTTTTCAATAGGTAACTTACATTTAAGAGCGAAACTATAATTCTAATACTACTATTCAGGCAATGCCCCAATAATGTAGTTGACAAACAAGTATAAACTATCTGAGACGTTTTTGTAGTAAATTGCAAAGATCAATAAATTTTATTAAATGCTCTTAGATAAAAAAGTGGTAACTTCTGAATATGTCTTTCATTTAATATTAAACCCTAATTAACACACATTTAATTAATGAAAGATATTTTTAGAATAAAGTCAATATTGAGTCATTGTTTTCTTTAAAACATTTTATATTATGACAGAGGAAACCACTTAAAAAAATGTTTTACTCTATAAATTGAAACGGAAGAAGTAGCAATTTATTTTACAAATATTTTTAACTACATGTCAATGACTAAACTCTCATTGTTTTTTACTTTTTGCCAATATATATAGCGAATAAAAATATATAAATATACATGCATCATCATTGTTAACTTTAATATATTAATATTAATATTTTCCAAATAATCAATCATACAATTTATTGTTCATACTTTACGGTATATATAATTATAAATTAAATAATTAATGATGAATGCATTAGATGAAAGTGATTTCACTTCCCCTAAATCAAGTCCATAATTCGAACTTAATTAAAAAAAAAAGTTATATTAAGATGGAATTAAGGTAATATAATTAAATAAAAACATGTAATATAAAAATTCAAGATAAATTTTAATATTTAGAATTGATAAATAAGATAACTTATTTCTTAATGCATTTTATTATAAATATATGATAGTAAAAATTATTTTAGAAAACCCAAACAAATATGGGAGAATACCGAGGCACCGTGGGGCAGGAGAGGGGTCCCAGTTGTCCCTTTTCTTCCTTGATTGCCGTCCTTCTTTGTTTTGCTTTTTTGTTTTTTGGTTATTTTTCAGCCTTTCCTTTTGTTTTATTTTAATATATTCTTGAAATTACCAAATCCTCCTCCTCCACAATATTTAATAGTACGTCACTAATTCCAAGCCTTTTTTTTCCACTTCCTTCCTTAATCCTCTTACCTCGCTTGTTTGAAAAAAATTAAAACATATGGTGTAATTTGCACGAACATGACTTTATTTGCAGATATAATTTGAACATTTGAAAATACTTCAGTAAATAAATTCAGATAATTTTTATACAGAAATTAAAATTTAACTATAAAGGTCAGTTTGCGTGGAGTTGAGGAGATGTACGATAGATTCTAATATAATGAATTTGATTTGGGGAAAAAAATTAAAGAATTAAATTGAAAAATTGAACCCCCCAATTTTAGTTGTTATTGTTGGTGATTATCCGAATGGAAGAGCTCTCTCTCTCTCTCTTTCTTCTTTTTCTTTGTGTTTCTGTCTTCCCTCGTCTAATTTCATGCTAAAATGGGATGCTCTTATAAGTTTTCGTTTTTATTTGTAATGATTGATTTATAATATCCTTGAAGAAATGATTAAAAAAATGATTCGAATTGAAAGAGAAAATTTTGTTGAACGCACACCATCACTACAATTCACATCACATGACTTTGACTTTTCAACTATCTTTCTGACGCTCTCATGCACTTTTTTTTTTTTGGACTAAAATGCTTCCTGTTGTGTTGCCTAAATAATTGCTTACTCTTCAAGTTGCTACATGTATTTTTTTTTATTCTTTCCTCTGTTTTATGGGCCATTACAAATTAGTGGTGTTTTTTAATGCAGTACATAAAGCAAGTTGGAAAAGGGTTTTATGCCTAAATATGAGACATATTTTATGATATAATTTACATGACAAAATAGGTCTTACATATAAAATCAGAATAAAAATAAAAAACCAAAAATCTTCATATGCCCATAAAAAGAGCTAGAGGGAGTATATGCATATATGTTATCTTTATTGTATATCATATATTTATAATTTTTATAATTTCTAATTAATTTTATAAAAAAATAAAAGAAATTTTTCATAAACATTTTATCTTGTCCTCTACTCCATCATCAGTCAAGTTAGGCATTGGTCTCTATTATTTTATCATCTTCAAAATATACAAATTAGTAAAGTAATTATTTTTTATCCTAAATATATAATCGGCTATACTAACTTTTTTTTTTCATGCCAAAAAATATATAGATGTCAGTAAAGATGATGTTATTACAAGTCAAAATGAAAGGTCTAGTTCAAATATTGGTAAATCAATCGTTGGTTAGGTTTATAATATTGGATGAAACGGTCTAAAAAGGGAACAGGACTGACATAAAAATTGAGGAAAATAGCTGTTATTATGATTTTTTTAAAAAAATCTACTTCCTTATGTCCTAAAAATAAGGTCCTTTTTTTTGCCAGCCCTAAAAATAAGGTCCTATCAACCGATTTGTAAAATAAATAAATAAATAAATTATTTGTAATTAATAGGAGGAAAGTTAGAGATAGTTTCTCAAAAATAACATTGAATTTAGTGACTAAATTTTAATGTGCATACATAAAAGTAATTCAATAGGAGTATTTTAGGATAAAAATTGTAATACTAGCATGACAAATACAAAGATAAGACATTAAATTTAGAACTGGCAAACAATAATTTATGGAAAAAGGAAAACTGCCAGCAAATAAGTAAGAAATATATTATAAATTATAAAATTATAAACTAGAAAATAAATCTATATTATAAACATCTTACATCTCATAATTATTTTTTAATCATAAATAGTTATAGATTTTTTACAATTATACTTTAATTTTTTATATTCATAGACTTAAGTTTTTCGTATAATTGTTGTATTTCTGATTTAAAATAGTTAATTTAATTAAAAATATTAATTTATTTTTAACTAATTTGATCAAATTCCATTTTTTATGATATTTAAATTAAAAGATTTGAATTTTTACTTGGCTTCTGAGTTATGATTTTAATTTTTCACCCAAAAACAGCTCAGTGGCAGTTAAGAAATTTTCCGAAAGAAAGAGGGTGACCTTACGGAGAGGTCGTATTCTCGCTGCCTCATTTTCTGTTCACCCTTTACTAGGAGTAGCGAACCAACCTGTTACTTTATTTTGTCTTCTTTTTCATTTCTTTTTTTCCTTTTTCTATTTATCTTCCTCCTTGGGTTTTGACCGTTGCTTTTCCTAACGTCTCTCTCTCTCTCTCTCTCTCACTATTCCTCACCGTGATCAAAGCTCCGTCCCGTCCCGCCGGCGAGTGGCTGTACGCTTCTACAATCTCCGTCTCCATTCTTCATCCGTTTTTCTTTCTGCATTGTCATCTGCTACTTCATCCTGTATCTGCTTCTAGGTTTTTTTTTTAGTTTATCGCACTCTTTGGGAAAAAATATCATCAAGGATGTGGAGGAAATTTTCTCCTTTCTCGAAATTTCAATATTGACGATCTATCTCTTTCGCATCTTCGAAATGGTTTCTCTGATTTTTTGTTTCTCATCAATTCTATGGTACTTGATAATGTGTTTTTACACTCTGAAACTTTACTTCTTTCTTTTTGGCATTTTCTAGGCTCCACATAAGCCTCTGTCTTTTCTTTAATTTGTTGCTATGAACTTTTCCTCATTTCAAAAGAACTCATAGTATGCGTCTGTACATTGAAATTATGATTTTTCGGTTTGAGATTCAGGTCATTTTCTGCTAGTTCGAATTCACTGGTTAGTGGTTTTCAATGTTGTTTATGATGATGTACTGTACTACTGTTTTCACTTTGATGTGGATTGAAGTACTTCAAGTGCTTGTTTATTTTCCTCTGAGAAAATAAATACTCCCAGATCCAAATCTATTCATGATATCGCCTACTTTGCTATTGTAGAAAACAGAGTGATAGCTCCTAGAATCTCCTTTAGATGCCTCCGTTGTGAAAGCCTGACTTTCATAACCCCTCCCTTCTAGTGACTTCAGCATAAAGAAAAGCATCACATCTTCTAAATGTAGATGCTTTTATTTTTAACTCAAATATATCACTTACTTTTTATTTCTCTTCTGATGACATTTTAATATCGTGAACGGCAGAAAACACTGGTGAATTATTTATGAATCTCGCGAGATCTGAAGCAAGATTCTCCTTTGATTTTCCTTTCAATGCAAGCCTGAGATAGAAGAGGAAACCCAGAGTAAGAGATATGGGATGTTCTCAATCAAGGCTAGATGATGAAGAAGCAGTTCAGCTTTGCAAAGATAGAAAACAATTTGTCAAACAAGCTGTTGAACAAAGAACTCGCTTTGCTTCGGGGCACATGGCCTACATACAGTCCATGAAAAGGGTCTCAGCTGCTCTTCGTGATTACATCGAAGAAGATGAGCCACGTGAGTTCTTATTAGATTCCTATATAACCCCAACTTTGACGCCTGTGAAGAAGAAAACCAATCCTGGCTTCATCCCCATATCATCAAAACCCTTCAAACCAACAGCTATAGAGTTTGCACCAAATTCTTCAACACTGAAAGTGAACTACCTTATGTCAAGTTATACTCCAGCGGTTTCAGTTGAGGAGAGGCCTCAGTCACCAGAAATGGTAAGGGTTGAAACGTATTCCCCTATGAACCAGCAGTATGGTGTTGATAGCTTTTTTGGTATGCAATCCTCACCTGTAAATCCCTCAATCTTTTCTTATTCTCCAAACAACAGACCCAGTATTCCTCCTCCTTCACCTCAAACGTCCCAATGGGATTTCTTTTGGAATCCATTTTCATCATTGGACTACTATGGTTACCCGAACCGGAGTAGCCTAGACAACACAAGTATGGATTATGAGGCCAGAGGATTGAGGCAGGTCCGTGAAGAAGAAGGAATACCAGACTTGGAAGAAGCTGAAACTGAACAAGAGGATTTTATTGGAAAGAGAAATGTACCCGAGGAAAGACATAAAGTTGAGGTAAACTCCTCAAGAAAAGAAGAAGTCATAGTTGAAGACGTTGATGACGACAACGATGAAGATGATGATGACGACGACGACGATGAGGAAGAAGAGGGAACAGAATGTGAAACTGAGACTGAGCATGAAATCAAAGACTCGCAAGGCCCTGGTGGCGCAAGTTTTGAAGTATCAAAAGCACAAACTGCAGGTCACATTGGCTCTAAACGTCAGGATTTGGCCATTGGCAATCAACAAACTAAGGAAGAAACACCGGGTTTTACTGTTTATGTAAATCGAAGGCCAACAAGCATGGCAGAAGTGATCAATGATCTTGAGGCTCAGTTCAAGATAGTCTGCGATGCAGCCAATGATGTCTCAGCATTGTTAGAAGCTAAGAAAGCTCAATATTTACTAACATCTAATGAACTCTCAGGTTTGAAGGAATTACAGTGTTCGTTTTGTCACTTTCCTGTTTGTTAATGGATTTCAATTTAGTCATTTTTGTTTCAGTCATATGTGTGCAGAATTATCAAAATATAAAAGCAAATCATATTTCTTTTGCAGCAACAAAATTGTTGAACCCAGTGGCTCTGTTCCGATCAGCTTCTTCACGCTCTTCCTCCTCGAGATTTTTGATGAATTGTTCAAGCACCAGGGAAGATTACGAGAGCAATAACGATCTCTCAGAGGACTCCTGTATGTTTTCCGGCAGTCATCACTCGACATTGGACAGGTTGTATGCATGGGAGAAGAAACTGTACGAGGAAGTTAAGGTATTTTCTGAAGTATCTTTCCTTATGAAAATATGTAGCCTTCTCTATTAGCAGGCTTCCATGTGGCAGCTCCTTCATCTTGACTTAGTGGTGAACAAAAATAATTTATTCGTCAAGTGATTCCCCGTTCAATACATCAATGGAGTTAAGATATAAAGCCTTTCTTGATTTAATTTATCCATGCTCTTTCAAAGCATTGATATACATGAACGAGGAAGTTGAGCGATATTTCTGAACTATCCATGCTCTTTCTTTTCTTTCTTTTTTAAAACACAGAGCCTTTTCTAGAAGCTTCCGTGTTTTCACTCCATTCTGGCTTAATTTATCCTCAAGTAATGAGTAAAAATGATTTATGCATTAAGTGATTCCCCGTTCAATGCATCAAACGAAGACCTGTTCTTTGACCCTTTCAACTGCTAATAGAACGGTTCCACTAATATGAGTTGGATCACTTGATAAAAGATAAGAGCTCTGCAGTGACCTGGCATAAGAAGTTCATACTGGTAGGGAAATCCCCTCATGACTGGGTATGCCCGTTCGTTGATTCCGACATCAAAACACAAAACATAGATGCTATTCTTTTAGGTTAGTGTTGGTGAGGAGCAGGTTTTATATTATTAGATTATTATCGTTACATGTCATTATGCTTATGATTATGGTAATATTAATGAATAGAGACTTACGGCTGTGTTGAATTTCCTCTTCAATAGTGTGGAGAACGTGTTCGAATTACATATGAGAAGAAATGCATGCAACTCCAGAACCAGGATGTTAAAGGAGTGGACCACTCTTCAGTAGATAAAACAAGGGCAGCCATTAGAGATCTTCATACCCAGATGATGGTTTCAATGCACTCGGTTGAAGCTATTTCCAAGAGAATCGAAGCTCTAAGGGATGAAGAGTTGCACCCCCAGCTTCTTGAATTGGTGCAAGGGTATGCATGAAAATCGTTATCACCCAACAATTTTCTTTTACATTCAAGCATTCAAGACTTTGAACAGACAAGTAACTTCTGTTTTTCCCTGTGTGCCACTTTAATGATGCAAACTAATTTTTAGGAGATAATTTCAGTTAATTTTTAAATGCGTGCCATAAATTCTTAAATAGAAATATGACTTGCAGATAAGCTTTTTAGGAGAAGTCAATAATGTGATGTTGATGGCCTTACATTATTGAATTTGGCTAACCAACTTGACCTAAATTTTCTATTAGTTGTCCCAACTGAAAAACCATCATAGAAATTGCTAGCCACTGCTAGGAAAATAACATTCGAAATCATTCTAATTTTTATTTCATTAGACACTTTTCAGTACAAGTAGAATCTTACAGACAACAATTGGATGGAGTAAAAGAGATTTGATACCTCTTAAGCAAGATCCAAGTTTGAACCTTGAGGATGGAAAAAAACATGTTATTTAGTCCAATAATATTGGTAGACATCACTTTTGTTGCTGTACTATAGATAAACCAGGGATTATGCATTCTTGCCCTGAATTTTGTATGATAACGTTTGAACTCATAGGCGTTCAACAATTCAAATGCAGGCTGGCAAGGATGTGGAAAGTGATGGCAGAATGTCATCGAACGCAGAAGAGAACTTTAGATGAGGCCAAGATTCTTCTAGCTGGAACTTCTTCTAAATCAAATCGCAGAAAAAAAACTTCCATATCAATAACTGACCCACAAAGGCTTGCCCGTTCAGCCTCTAATCTTGAGACTGAGTTGAGGAACTGGAGAGCCAGTTTTGAGTCATGGATCACTTCTCAAAGATCCTACATTCATGCACTAACTGGCTGGCTTCTCCGGTGCATGAGATCTGAATCCGACGTATCCAAGCTACCGCCTGGCTCACCTCGCCGGTCCAGCAGCACTCATCCAATATATGGACTCTGTGTTCAATGGTCAAGGCGTCTGGATGCTATCCAAGAAACAGCAGTGCTTGATGGTCTGGATTTTTTTGCTGCTGGAATGGGTTCCCTCTATGCACAACAACAACAGCTAAGAGAAGATTCTATGCAAAGAAATCAAATTGGATCAAAAGAATATAGTGGGAATGGGATGGAAATGGTGGAAGTTGGTCAAGTTGAAGAGGCAATGACCCCAGAAAAAATGGCTGAAGTTGCAATTAAGGTGCTTTGTGCTGGGATGTCAGTTGCTATCAGCTCACTGACACAGTTTTCTATTGAATCTGCGGAGAGATATGACGAACTTGTTAAGCAATGGGAGAATGTTAAGTGGCAGCGTCCTTCTAAAGGAACCTGGAACATGATGTAGATTACTGATTAAGTTAGTCTTTTTGTGAGATTAGTTTATTAATGAGTGTTAATATGCATACATATTTAAGCTTATCAATACAGGGTAGAGCAATTAGTCAGTTACTGTCATTCTTTATCTGTTAAAAGATCATAATGTGAGTCCTAAAGAGCACCAATTATCCACTGTACCGCAAGTGCCCCGCAGCACAACGCTGAGCAAATCTTAAATTTCAAAATCTAAATCATAGAAAATCTGTCTAAAATCTTAAAATCTTGTATTACCCAGCTGAGGCTAAAATGAGTTAAGTACCATGCAGCGCAGTGCTGAGCAAATCCAAAATCATCAATCCTAAATTCTAAAGGGGGAAGTCCTGAATTTCAAATAACCCACTCAAATTTTATACTCTTTTGACTGTCGATCCTAAATTTAAAAATCTGAATCATAAAAAGTTCTAAACTATATAGCGTCAATGATTGACAGATTAAAATTTAAACCTCAAAAGTATTCTCAAAATTATCTTATTTTCCAAAATTACTTTCCAATTGAAATAATCTATTTTAATTATGAAATGATGATGTTAAGATTTTAAATATTGATAAAACATTATCAAATATTAACTTATTAAGTTTAATTTTTAAAACAATCATAATTGCTAAGTCCAACACTTTCAGAGTTAAAGAACTAAAACACATTTTTCAAAATAAATTAGAAAAGGATCAGATGTATTTTTGCCATCCAACATAATATTAACTATAATGATTAATGAAGAATGCTCCTCTTAATAATGATAAAATAGGAAAGCCCAAAAATAACTTATATTTCTGAGAAAAAGATTTAGAATATGAGTTACAATGTGGGCAGAAGCGAGCGTATATAGGAAAATCTTGGCCCTACCCGGCTACCCGCGTCCCCCCCCCCCCAAAAAGAAAAAAGCACTTATCTTTTGTTTTGAAATATAAGTCTTAATAGAAATTTCTAAATTTAATTAATACTTACATTTGAAAATGTGTATTTTAGATATAACTAATATATATTAAGAAGCGTAAAAATGAAAAGAAAAATAAATTCAGCTAAAAAAAAGAAAAGAAAAATAAATAAATTTTACATAAGATGTGGATTTTGATACTCATTTAACTTATTTTTTTTATATTATTTATGAGGCAGAGAAAGAAAATTTTCATTTGAATATGTAACTTTACTCTTCATTTATTATTGTATTTTTTTTTGTCATTCTATTAGAGGCAATCCTATTCGAGACACTATCAATCACTAAATGTGGATACCTCTTTTAGTGAGATTCAAATCTTGGTTCACTACGTTGTGGGAGACTAGTCCCTTCTACTAGACCCAACTCTTGTTAGTTATTATATTGATTTTGTTCTCATTTAATATATTATATATTAAATAACGATAAAGTTAAAAAGTTATTGAATTTTAAACGAAAGTTAATGAAGTTTAAAATTTTATTAGTCTGTGTAAAACATATTAAAAATGACTTATAATTAAGACCAAATAAGTATATTTATGTATGAAAAAATTACTAGTGACAGCAGAAATTAAAGTCAATAAATAAGCTGTGATCATGCATAACCATTATGATTGACATTAAATCCAAGCATTGAACATATTCTGCATTTAAATCTAGTGACAGCAGAAATTAAAGTCAATAAATAAGCTGTGATCATGCATAACCATTATGATTGACATTAAATCCAAGCATTGAACATATTCTGCATTTAAATTTGACGTCTTTTTCCTTTTTTCTCCTTTGACCTGAGTAAATGTTGTCATTAAACTCAATAATTAATTACTCATCTTTTTTCTTTTTTGCCCCATATATATTATATAACAACGTTCATAAGCTCATATCACAATTCACAACACAATTGAGCAGTCACTGTAAAAAAATAATGGGTCGTCTCTTTATTCTTTGTTCCATCTTTCTTCTTTCAAGTCTCAATTTTGCATTTGGTATGTGAGCGTAATAATGTCATAGTTCTTATTTTATTCTGTAAAATATTATACTCCGCATATATAAGAGTATTATTTTTTTGCTTCATAATTTTATTTGTGATTATTAATTTAAGCTTGGGTTTATTTATTTATTTTTGCAAATTTGCTGGTGAGTGGTAATAGGTGATGGAGATAATATTGGAATAATAGAAAGAGCTGCGACGTGCAATGTGACGATAGGGCCTTGCAAGGATGAATGTTCAGATGAGAAATGTTGTAACATTAGATGTAATGAGAAATTTCCAGATCGAAGAGCTCGAGGATATTGCCAACTCATGAAGCCCCCCAAAAAATTCCCTGATTGTATCTGCATTTTCGATTGCTAAAATGTTGTTATACTTTAATTCTAGTTATTATTGATGGAACTTAAATAAATAAGGAGCTTCTAATTAATTTTCTTCTCTCTTTTTTTTTCCGAGCCAGTATAATACTACTTCCAGTCTTAATTATAAGAGCTAGTTGACTAATTTGAAAAAATTAAGGAAAGAAGTTAAGTTAGTTATTTGTAATAAATATGTATTGTCTTTCCTAAAGTATCCTTGCTAATTAAGTGTATTAGTTATAACTATCATTGTTAGGAGGACTATTTTGAAAAAATGCATAAATATGAGAGATAAAATAGATTGGGGTCTTATATTTAGAACTAAAATAAAAGTCAAATAAAGTCTTATATTAAGAATCAGAAGTAGTACTCAACTTGGTCCTAAATATAAGAATTAGTGTCAAAATATTTGCTTTAATCGTAAACATAATATCTCACTATCCACTTTATTTCAAAATTTATAATTTTTTTCTAAATATTGTTATTAATTACGTGTTAAGTGGATTTGACTAATGTAAGATTATTTTAGTTTCCTTTTCTTTTTTTAAGGAAAGTGTTTACTCATTATGCTAATTAAATATTCGATGGAGGACTTTTTTGTACTTTAATATATTTTTTTAAAACGAATACGGAACAACGACCCCTCGCAACAAATTCATTTAATCAAACTGAACACAACTGTTCATGAGGTTTGTTCAACATACTGAGAAATTTAATGCTGTCATATTTCATGCCCACAGAAAGTAATAATATTTTAATATATGCAAGTGAAAATACTAAAAATGAACAAATAATGGAAATTACATGGATTTTTGTCTCTCTACCAAAAATTTAAGGGATCAAATCAAGCTGGAAGGTTTTGAGACAAGTTAATCAATTTAAGGACTAAATTATTAATTTTTTTGAAAAAAATTAAAAAGTTAAGCATCAATCCGGCAGAAATTGTACTCACGATCTTTACATATTTACAACACAGCTCATAAGATCCTCGTTTCATCTAACTGAACACACCAATTCCGGCAGCAAGAAATTAATGAAAATCTTTTCATTTATATATATAAACCTTAAAATATTATATATCAAAACACTTAAACCCAACACTACGTAAGATTAAACGAAAACAAACATAAATGGCAGCGATAAGACTGAAAGGAAGCCACACCGTGAGGCCTTGTGATCCTACGTGGATTGGAACAATGGCGTTATCTGAATGGGATCAAATAGGTTGCGTCACCCACGTTCCCGCCATTTACTTGTATCGATCCCCAAACAGATCGGCTTCCGCCATTGCCGAGACCTTGAAGGACTCGTTAAGCAAAGTGTTGGTGCCGTTTTACCCCTTGGCCGGTCGTTTGCAGTGGATAGGCAATGGCCGTCTTCAGCTTCAGTGTAACGCCATGGGAGCTCGCTTCATTGAAGCTGAGTGCGAATCGAGTCTAAACGACATTGGCGACTTGTTTCTCTCCCCTCAACATCGTAACCTCTTCCCATCTGCAGATTATGGCCTCCCCATTCATGAGCTTCCTCTGTTTCTGGTTCAACTCACCACCTTCAGATGCGGTGGCGTCACCATCGCAATTGCTCTTTCTCACGCCGTTGCAGATGGACCAGGTGATGAAGTATTCACCATCCTTGTTTTCTAAACTGAAAAATCCAAACATAGTTTAAGATTACTACCATTGTAGAGAATTCGGCATATACTAGGTTTGTCTTTCTATTAAAATGGCTTATGTCAATTTGATAAGGCTTACTTTAATACCATACACCTTCAATTCATTCTCCAATTAATCCACGTGAGACTTGATGTTTTATTCCTTCTTTTTTCCCTTCTTTGCTTGCGCCTGTTTATTAGTAGATTATTATAACTCATGCAACCCGAGAGTAACAATTGTAAACTAATCTAACTTGAGTCATTTCATTAGCTGCCCTTCACTTCATGTCTGAGTGGGCTAGGATTACAAGAGGCGAGACACTACAAACGCCACCTTTTCATGACCGGAGCGTCTTCCGAGCCGGGCAGCCACCGTTGGCGTCGTCACCGCGGCCAACCCTCGACGATTTCCCAGAGTATGGCAAGCCCGCGTTACTACTTGGTCAATCAGATACTTCAGAGGAAAGGAAGAAGAAAACCACAACAGCTATGCTGAAGATAACAAAAGCCCAAGTTGAGAAGTTGAGGAAGATGGCGAATGACAGTAGGGAAAAGCCCATGGCTCGTGGGTTCACTCGATACGAGACGATTTGTGGACATGTTTGGAGAATCTCATGCAAGGCAAGAGGACACAGAAAGCAGCAGCCAACCGCAATGGGTATTATTATTGATTCAAGGAGTCGCATGAGGCCTGAACTGCCAAGAGAGTTCTTTGGAACTGCAACTTTTGATGTGATAGCTCAGAGCATGGCAGGTGATCTCATGTCGAAGCCATTAGGGTTTGCTGCGAGTAAAGTGAGGGAAACAATAGAGAAGGTGACAGACAACTACGTGAGGTCGTCGATAGAGTTCTTGAAGAACCAGAAGGACTTGAAAGACTTTCAAGATATACATTCATTGTTAAGGAAAGAGGAAGGACCGTTTTATGGAAACCCTAATATTACAGTGGTGAGTTGGCTGACGTTGCCTTTATATGGGTTTGATTTTGGGTGGGGAAAGGAACAGTACATGGGACCTGGACCTTATGAAGATGATGGAAATTGTTTGCTTATGCACAGCCCTGAAGGAGATGGTTCTGTTGTGGTTGCTATGTGCCTTCAGGAAGCTCATATGGATGAGTTTAAGAAGCTTTTTTATCAAGACTTGCTGTGATCTTCATGCATCATGTGAGCCATATACTTGAATATCTAATCCAAATTGCAATTCATACAATAGTAATTTTATGAAACTATATGTTATATCTTTAAATACTAATATGAGAAAAATAAGGATGAATGAATGTGTGTATTTGTGGGCACCAAGGTGGCAATAAGATATAACAATCAGCAAAAGAAAATTGTGCTTTGAATTCTAGTAATGAGAATCAATTATTGTTTTTGGATGGCATGGCTACTTGAAGCCCATTTTGTTTGGCACCCACCACCACTACAAAATAGAGTTTTCACGACGCTAATTACGACGCGGTTATTAGAAAAAACATGGTTAAAAATATGACGGCGACATTTCTATAATTATAGGCGTACTTTTAAAAACCGTCGTAAAAATAATTTTAACGGCGGTTTTTTAAATAACCGCCGTAAAAAGTCTCATCGTGCGATAGTTTTCACTTTTCAGAGTCAGAGCTCGTAGTCCCTCATACCATCCTCACTCAATTTTCTCCCTCCTCCTACATTTGTCAGCGTTTATCGATTGCTTCTATCATTTCCGCCATGTTCTTCCATCACCGTAGCTGTCGCTATTGCCGTCGCCATTGCCTCATCCTCTTCATTCTTATTTGTGAGTTTTTCACCTCCACTCTTTTCACGGATTTCATAGTTTTTGTGGTTTGATATGATTATTTTCTTTGGTTAAAAATATGATGTTTAATTTGAGTTTAAAGAGATCTAATTTTTAACATATCTGAGTCTTTGATTTTATCTTTATTAAATCTTAGTGGTTTCGATCTGGTGGCTGAAGGTGAAGCTAAATGATGCTATTACGGCGAAAAAGAATCTATGTTTGTTCCATCAGAATGCTTTTAACGGGTGAGAGACTTCTTTTGAGGCTTTGTTCTCCTGTTCCATCCTGATCAGTAAGTTGAAACGTAGACTAAAATTTTTTTTTTCACGACGGTTAT